GAGAAAGCTCTCCGTTAGCGTTTACATTCATCTCAACGGCAGTTGCTTGGCTGGTGCAGGACCCCCTTTGAAATATGTCATCTTTGAACTTTGGCACTTGTTTGAGTCAATCATCTGAGTTGTAAATGCCATGTGATTCTGGAGCTGCATTAAAATGCCGTCATGGCATTGTTGATTGGGTAATGCCTCTTTTAGAACACTAGGGGTGTCACACTACACTCTTAAAAATAAAGGTGCTTCACGATGCCATAGAAGAACCTTTTTGTCTAAATGGTTCCATAAAGAACCTTTAACATCTGAAGAACCTTTCTGTTTCACAAAAGGTTCTTTGTGGCGAAATAAGGTTCTTCAGATTACAAAAAGGTAAGAAAGAGATGGTTCTTTAAAGAACCTTTGACTGAATGGTTCTTTGTGGAACCAAAAATGGTTCTTCTATGGCATCGCTTGAAGAACCTTTTGAAGCACCTTTATTTTTAAGAGTGTACTCTTATATCACAACTCTTAGTATGAAAGAGTGGCATGGCATGATAAAAGGAAAAAGGAAGAGTCTCAGAAACAGTTGGTGAAAGCCAAAGGGCTTTCCTGAAAGGATTTCCCCAAGGACACATACTGTTGAGCCCTCAGAAAACTGCTGGTTCTTGACTGACCCACACATGCTGAGTCACTGTATGGAATACAGCAGTCCCACACTCTCCACACAGCACATAATACTGCACCTTGATTAGCTCTGAAATATATATAAAGAAAATCTCACATAATCTGCACCTTTCATTACAATGATGTTGGGATATTGTCATACATGCATATAAAGAAAATCAAACATATTTACGCAAGAAAGCTCCAAAAAGATTGGATGCCGTTTTGGTCTATTCTTCTTTTTGTCAGTCTTTCCATTGTAATTTAAACATGAGTCCCTGTTCGTAACCCATTTTACTTTTGTAATCTGAACTTTTCAAGGGAAAAAAAGGGGAAAAAAGTAGGATATTGTTATTGTCTTTATTGATTGTATTGTCAAAAGTCCATATAGTCAGACTTTAATGAAAGCAACAGCTATTTATGGCTATATCCTATAATTACATTAAACTAAATGGAAACAAAACATTCTTTCAGAAGATTATTATTGTGAGACTATTTTAGTATTATTTATAGATTTGTATTTATATTATAGTATTTATTAATTTGATAAATTATTATGTTTTCGTTTTAATTTTAGTTATTTTAGTAATTCAATTTAACCTTATTTCATTTATTTAGTTGCCAAGGCAACATTTCTTATTTTCGTTTTTAAGTTCAAGTCAAATCTAATTTTTATATTGTATATATTTTAGCTTTGTTATATTGTATTTTAGCTTTATTTCAATTAACAAAAATAATTTGTAATAGTTTTAGTTTGGTTTAAAAACACTGCGTGTTTTTGAGGGTTAACTTCGTGACAAAAAAACAACCATGTCAAATATCTTTGGAAAGCTGAGATTCTTGTGATTCGAATGATGCAAACCATAAGATACAATCAACACAGCAGGTACAATCAGTGTCTTTATCAGACCGCCAACAAGGCTTCATGCTGTGATCCCATTGTGTTTTCCAGATAATAGCTCCCAGATATCCGTTTACAAAAAAAAAAATGTAGGCTAAATGTTTTTTTTTCCCTTTTTCAGTGTTTTCAAAGTTCTATTACTGAATACCAGTAAGACTTACAGTGATTCTGAGGTTTGTTCATTTAGGAAAACCTTTCAAAAGAGACCAAAAAACATGTATATACTTCAAATGGTTCAAGAACAGCATGCAATTTACTTTGGGTATGCCATTTTAGGCGTTTTAGGCAAATTTTACAAGAATGCTAAAGGGTTAAGTTAACATATTCCATTCGATTTGGAATAACTTGCACTCTTCACAATAAGTAAAGTAAAACAGGATTCGCAATTTCATGTTGACTTTAAATCACAGTAACAGAATATGTTCTCTCATGCCTGATTTGGGTAAAAAACTATTTTTGAAGTGTACTACATATAGACTCCTCTTTCCTTCCACTCATCCCTCTCTTCTCCAGTCCTCACAGTGAAATAAAAACAACAGAAAGTGAAAGTGGGAGTGCTAAGAGGAAGAGGTGGGTCATCTCTACCCTCTACACACACACACACACACACACACACAGACAAAACACAAAGAATTCATACTTCACAAAAGATGACACTAAACATCAACCATAAAACAATTGAAAAAACAACTAAAATAATTATGTAACCAAAAGAGCAAAATGTTCAAAGAACACTTGTTAGCCTTCATTTGAAATCTTGTGATCCTGTAAAGAATAATCTCCACCACAGACAAGTCTATAGACTGTTTCCTTCACGACAACATTAAAAAAAGGTCTGTTTATGCACGTGTGGGCTCAGAACAGCTGTGAGACTTTGTTTTGGTGTCTCGTGAAGAATATAAAAAGTTGACCTTTGATCATAAAGGCGTGAGGGATACTTTGCAGCATTGTCATCCACATAACACCCTTATTAGCGTTCCTAAAAGAGGCATGAGGGTGTATTATAGATATCAGCTGATCCCACTGGACAAATGGATTGACAGTCTTCCAGACAGACGTCTCAAAAAAAAAAGACAGCGGAATGCTCTTCAACATCCAGTACATCAACTGCATCCATTTCTAAAACTGATAGCCATAGATATGTACAGGTAGATGCCACATTCGACCACTCCAGACACGTTGACGCGTCATCTTGGAACGGTCAATGTGTCGTCACTCTCAATAAAAATCAAAGAGTTTCAAGAAGCAACAACCTTGCACAACCTCTGGGTGTAAAAGCGGCCGACATTTACATTCCTGAAGAAATTGAATTAACTTTCACAGGTTGGTTTGTATTTTTAATATGTATTAACTCAATATTACAGGTTTTTAAACTATATTACCTTTTGAATGTTGTGTTAGTTAATGGCTTCGTCTTGTTGTATTGTGTTAGTTTAGCAAAATCATCTGCCATAGAAACAGCCGCTAATAGGGCATCTACCTACAAATCTATGCTGATAGCTACACCTCTAAATTCTAATTGGATGCTGCATTGCTTGAGTTAGGCCACTGAATAAATGTAAAAAAAAAAGAAGTTAATTTTCACTTCTTGTCAATAGAATTATATTATTATAAAAGAAAAAGAAATCATAATTCTACTAATAAATAGTTATTCTATTTATTGAACTGGTGCCTTTCACTTTCATGATATTACTGTTGCTGTCATTTTAAGAGCAATAAATTAAAATGGGTCTGTGTGTACAGTGATTTTACTTCGGTCAAGGGGGGGGGATATATAAGATCAAATAAGAATTATTATTTAATCTATAATTTATCATTCTGAACCTGCTTATATATTGTGCTTTTTGGAATTAGTGCCAAAAATGGGACCCATTAACGTTCTAATAAAAGAAAGGGCCCAAGGGCTTTAAATATTAAATCCACAATTCAGTTTGTGATTCTAGAAGTTTTAAGAACTGTAGGTTCTTTGATACATACAATCATTACATATTTAAATTATTGGTGTAGTTATTGATAGTTCATATGTTTTTTAAGCATTTTAATTTAGAGTTAGATTTTTTTTAAATAATATTTTCTATTTAATTAATTCAATTAATTTTCTATTTAATTTCATTAATATTTACTTTTAAGTTATCCTGCGGCCAACTTGGAAATTTGCTGAGGCCCCCTAGTGGGCCCAGCCCCCTGGGCAAGAACCACTGACTTAGTGGTTAAAAACTTTGACAAGCTCAGCTCCAAATCTTCCATTTGATCGTTCTTTTTCACAATCTTTCAATCCTTTGGTTTTGTCTGTATGTCCGACCCTATAGATCGTCCAAGCGGTTCGCCGCTCGCTTACTCTCTACTTCAGTTTGAGAGATGAGGGGGCAGAGGCCAGCTGTCCTCCCTCAAGGAGCTGGCCTGCTTGTTGCATCTTCCACTCCTGTTCTGAAAGTCTCTCCTTTCCTGAGGTAAAAATAGCTATCGATGCAAACAGATGCACCAGCCGCTGTCTATCCACACACACTCACATACATCCACGGAATGACAGAATCTTCTAGAAGAATAAGCAAAAAGATGCAGCACTTACAATATGAGTTCACAGTCAGCAATAATAAAAGCTGGACATGTCCCTGATTAGAGTCGTCGTCCCTCACTGAGCTGTTAGGCAGACTATCAACTCCATAAGCAGGTCAAAAGACATGTGGGCCACCATAAAAATAGTCAACTAAATACAGGGTGAGAACCAGGCTTGCAAAAACATCCATCAAAAATTGTCCAAAAACACCATGGTAATTATTCAACAAACCAGCCCACCTGAAGAGGCTACGAGTGTGAATGGGGAAGTTAACAAAATATCTATTATAGCGCGGTTACATTTACCATTGTTTGGCAAATTTTCACGAGTGAAATCCATTCATTTCAACAGGAATCTACGAGATTGGGAATTTTTGTATGAAGGCGCAGATTTCGCAACGAGTTCAAATTGTTCACACAAATTTGCCACACTGACCAACAGAAAACTGCTTTGTTTTAAAGTAAGTTCATACATCACTACACTATTGACAACGGATCTTTTTTGCCAGCGAAATTTCACTCATGTGACCGCACTTTTACTGCGTCCAGCGCTTGACAAATAAATGAGCGTGCATATTTAAAAACAAACAAATAGATCTCCATTCACATGCAAGGATATTTCAAACACTTTAACGACAGCAATGATGCAATCAAATGTTCAAGATTGAGGGGGACCAGATGAAAACGTTTAAGAACCTTGCATTTTACTACTTAACCACTAGTCTAAATATTGGGGGTGGTGGGTTAGGGAGGGCATGAGCGCCCCCCTCAATGTCTATGGTGGTTTGGGCCTGTATACGTAAAAATACCCATAATGCACAGGCAAAAAAAGCGAAAACTCTTTCGTTCAGAAATAACTTTGAGTCCCCCCCACAAAAACATTATAGTTCAAGAAGGCATTACTTACCGTCCGTAGGAACTGTATCTCTTCATCTCCCCCCTCTCCCTCTGCCATCCTTCTCAGAGGGTTATTTGCAGCTCCTCAGGAGAAACCAGAAAATCCTTCTGTTTTCTCTTCAGTGTGTTTCAGTGTCTTCTCTCTCTTTCTCTCTCAGTGTGTGTGTGTGTCTGGGTGTGCTGGAGGACAGCATGAGTCCTGTAGCTCTCACGATGGAGTGAGAGAGAGTGACAGAAGATTCAGCGCTGCTTCTGTCTCTCTCTCTCTCTCTCTCTCTCTCTCTCTCTCTCTCAGTGTGTGTGTGTGTGTCTGGGTGTGCTGGAGGACAGCATGAGTCCTGTAGCTCTCACGATGGAGTGAGAGAGAGTGACAGAAGATTCAGCGCTGCTTCTGTCTCTCTCTCTCTCTCTCTCTCTCTCTCTCTCTCTCTCAGTGTGTGTGTGTGTGTCTGGGTGTGCTGGAGGACAGCATGAGTCCTGTAGCTCTCACGATGGAGTGAGAGAGAGTGACAGAAGATTCAGCGCTGCTTCTGTCTCTCTCTCTCTCTCTCTCTCTCTCTCTCTCTCTCTCTCTGTTTCCTTGCTCTCAGATTTTGTGGATGGTGCTCTACCTTCGTACACATTCACACTGCAACCGTATTTGCACAACTGGGCCACTCCCTTTGCCTAAAACTGATCCTCCCACAAGTCTAATGAGCTATAAAAGGAAAATGTGCTTGTGTGTGATGATGTCTGGCAGAAGAAACTAAGAACAGAAGATTCAACGCTGCTTCTGTCTCTCTCTCTCTCACGCTGCTTCTGTCTCTCTCTCTCTCAGTTTCCTTGCTCTCAGATCTTGTGGATGGTGCTCTACCTTCGTACACATTCACACTGCAACCATATTTGCACAACTGGGCCACTCCCTTTGCCTAAAACTGATCCTCCCACAAGTCTAATGAGCTATAAAAGGAAAATGTGCTTGTGTGTGATGATGTCTGGCAGAAGAAACTAAGACACACGCACATACTCAGCCATACGAGAAGCCTGAATTACATCAGAATTAATCAAATAATGACATTTGTTTAGTTTTCCTTGTGTTATTTTATGACAATATTTGTGCAAAAACACAGTAAACAGCTTGAACACAGCTGGATATATTGGGTGCATATGTGTGCTCAGCACGCACTGTCACTGAAACAGAATACAGACAGCGAATTAACAGCAAAACTGAATGGAATTTATTTCAGGCACTGCATTTGAAATCATTTTCAATATTTGAATATGAATGTTCTGTTTATATATATATTTTTAATGCAAAAACACAGTAAACAGCTTGAACACAGCTGGATATATTGGGTGCATATGTGTGCTCAGCACGCACTGTCACTGAAACAGAATACAGACAGCGAATTAACAGCAAACAAAACTGAAATTTATTTCAGGCACTGCATTTGAAATCATTTTCAATATTTGAATATGAATGTTCTGTTTATATATATTTTTTTAATTTAGATATTTTTTATTTAAGTTTATATATATTTTTAATTTAGATATTTTTTAATTTATGTTCTGCATATAACAGCAATTATATTTAAATATATTAATAATATATAAATTTAGTTTAATAAATATAATATACACTTTATACAATTATATAGAATATACAAATAGTATATAATTGTATACAAATAATTCATAATAAAATTGTATTAATGAAAATTAAATATAATTTGGTACAATTAGGGTACCAATGATTAGAATACAAATAGCTAAGTGCAGGATGAGGCAGTTTTGCCAATATTTGGGTGCTGGAGAATCAGAATTCTCTCAATTCCTTTTTAGTATAATGCTGAAGGATGACTTTTGTCTACTGAACCTTCGCTTGGAAATACAAGAGTGGTACTGAGTATACATTATGAAATTACATTAAATTATACAATATACTGTATAAACATCACATTAAAAATTATGTGACACCGGAGAAGGAACAAAATGTAAATGATAAAAGCAAAATCAACACAACAGGGCCAGAAGGCCAATTTAAAAAATCTAATCAGAACAGACAGACAGACAGACAGACAGATAGATAGATAGATAGATAGATAGATAGATAGATGTGCAGCAGAAGTACAGACAGATAGACACACAAGGTAATTACATTTTCAATCATATTTCCCCTTTCTGCATCCAGACACACACAGACCACCAGTCGGCTAGACAGTCTGACAGCTGCATAAGCAACACCCCCCTAAAATTACTCTAGGAAAATACAGCCAACGTGCTGCACCCAGCCACACACACTCACATACACACACTCTCTCAAACAGGCCAAAAACACATGCAAAGATGACAGCTGGCATCTCTCCTCACCTCCACAATCTCCATCCAAGTGTCATCTCTGAGCGTGTCCCACCTCTCTCCTAAGTCCAACTGCAACTACATCTGAGTATGGAGCAACAAGGATGCTGAAGGATTTTTGGGGGTCTTGGCAGCCGAGGACTGAACTTCAGAGAGCATGCTCAGACAGGACGTAATGAAGACCGCGAAGCCTAGTGCATTGGCTCAGGTTTGCTGCGTGCTGTCCTGTAGTCATGTGAAGTGACCGCTAGATGGAGGCGTAGCATCTCACAAACTCACTACGGAAATAAAATTGAAGCAAGAATTATTTGCAGTAGCCTACAGACTATATTTAAATGTGAGATAATGTATTAGGCTACTATAGTAAATGACACTAATGCACAATAACATAATACTCTTTATTGATAATGAATTAGCCTAACTGCTTACTTACACTACCATACACTACCACTACACTACCATTTAATAAAACGCTGCCCGATGGTATTCATATTCTGCACTTCAAAAGAAAAAAAAAACATAATTAGATATTAATGACAGTACAATTTAAAAAAAAACATGAAAATCAATGATATTTTAAAAATATCAATGAAAAAATTACTTTAGTGTCTCAAAACAAGCCCTGTAGTGTAAATTTAGTTTATCAAAACTTCCATTCCAGTGTCCTCCATTTCCAGTTGGTAACGAGCTTAACGAACAATCACTGTTTGTTTGTATATATATATATATATATATAGATATAGATATATATATAGGCTATAGGCTATATATATATATTTTTTATTTTTTTATTTTTTTATTTTTTTTTAGATTTTAGCATGTAATGGATATGACAATGTTAATGTATTTGGTCTTGGCGGAATAGATCTGCTATGCTGCTGCTGCTGAATTGCTGCTTCTGTTGGTTATTGCTGTATTTGTAGATTATTGCTGTTGCTGCTGCAAGTACAGGAACTTGCTATTGCCAAATGCCAATACATTAGCCAATATGGTGCTGTAAGTATTTAAAGTGCCCCTATTATGCCATTTTGAAGGTTGCTAATATTGTTTTAGGAGTCTCCTTAAACAGGTTTACATGCATGCAAGGTCAAAAAACACTTTAGTTTTCTCAAAAAATAGATTTAATTTTACCTCATTTCTAAATGATTCGTAAACGACTCGTGCCAAGCAGTTCGAAGAATCAGTTTCTCTAACCCCCTCCTTTCCGTGAGCCCTCACTGCTGTGATTGGTCAGATGGCGCAGTCCCTTGTGATTGGTCTACCGCGTACAGCGCATGTCGGAAACGAAACGCCCATTGCCATGACGGAATGACAGCCCTTGAGACTTGTCAATACAAAAAAAAATATGGTATGGATTGTACCACTTAGTAACCTTACCAATTCGAGCCGGAGTCTGATGATGAAACGGTTGAAGTGGCTGATCGACAAGAGACTGATTCGCAAGCACGACTGGAGCAGGATGTTTCTCAGTGGTAAGTGTCAAGTGATAGCAAGTTTGTGGTAATTATAAGATGTGATAGCAAGATGTTCCTGATGTAGAACTTAGGCGGACATTATGCAAATGTTTGACTTCATGACGTACAGCCGTAACAGAATAAGATTCGAATTCCTGACGACTTGTTTAGGCGATTGCGAGCCGACTCTTTTTTTTTATATATACAATAACTTTATTTATCGTGCACTGTCGGCTTCACAACTTTGCAGATAGTTTATGTTCACATACAGCTACATGACACACTGCATGAAAGGTAATATTCGAAAAGGCATAATAGGGGCACTTTAAGACATAATGCTGCACAAATAGCATATAAAATAACCCGTAGCAGATCTATACAGGTGGAGCTGGGGAAGGTGGAGGGTTTCAGAGGAACTCTGAAAGCACACTGCAATGCTCAAGCGAATGCTAACCAGCCATTTAAATGTAAAGCAGCAAGCTCATTGGCTGTGTATGCAACATGAACCAATCAGCTGGTTACAAGTCATTTAATGCTAAGAGTATCATCAGTTTACATTAAGGACCCATCAGCCTGCACCATCTAGAGTTTCATGACAGAACTTGGTATTTAAATTTGTTTAAAAAGTTTTCGCTGTGACTTTCATTTTGAACACATTTCGAGGAGACTCGGTCAGCTTTATATTTTAAAACCATGAGAACTTATTTTTTTGTGAAAAGGTTTGCTTAAAACGTGTGCTTGTGCTATCTTTCTTTAAAATAAAGGCTACTTTGTTTCATATTTTATAATCTAATGCTATGAAATTCAGACCATTTTAAGTGTGGCTTTAGTACAATACTTTTTCAGGCTCTTCTCATCAAACCACAAAAGAAAGACTGCCACAAGCCTCATGTAATGAGCAAATTTGTATCTGTGAAGGAGTGTGAAGCCTTATAGATAAACCTGGCTACCACAGACGCTTTTCTCTCACAATTATGAATAAGCTACACCAGGGCTGTGTGCGGCTGTGGAATGATGTGTGTTTGTGGCGAGTTCGAGGTTGTAAGGTAATCAATTACTTCCATGACTTGCTTGAAGTACAGATTCTTAGAATTCCTCCCTCATTGCAGTGCCAGGTACACCAGGATCTCTTCCTCTCATAGGTTTCCCAGAGTCGGGCTGTCAGCAGGGAATCTCAATAACAAGTACAGCAGACACTCCACAGACACAGACAGCAGGGAGGTCTGCTTCTAGGGTAAATATAAGTTGAGGGGAGGGGTGGGTTTGGTCTTGAAGAAAAAAAAAACTGTAAAGGAGGGATCATAGGGGTCGAGGTCATAAAGAGAGAAAAAAATGAGAGAAAAAGAGGAAGGATAGAAAGTTGTTAATAATCAATAAATCCAAGTCAAACAGAACAAAGTCATTTTATGATAGATCTATAATGCAAAGATTACCTTTAGACACAGGGCTTGATCAAAAGAGAGAGATAAAATTAATAACAAAATAATCGAGTCAAAAGGTTTGAAGGGGCACTTTTGCATCAATTGTTTAATTATTTATTGATTGTGTAAGCAGCAAGCTCATTGGCTGTGTATGCAACATGAACCAATCAGCTGGTTACAAGTCATTTAATGCTAAGAGTATCATCAGTTTACATTAAGGACCCATCAGCCTGCACCATCTAGAGTTTCATGACAGAACTTGATATATATATATATATATATATATATATAGTCGCCATTTATTTTAAGTGTTTCACCATTTCACCTTGTAGCTATTTTTCCTCATCACTTGAACAGTTCTGCGCTAAATTAATAAAAAAAAAAAATCAAAACAACAGTTTATTTATATCCCATATTAAATATAATACACAATATATTATTATGTATTATATTTAAAATGGGATATAAATTAATACAAATAATCTGAGAGTTCTTTAAAACAGCAAATAAATCATATTAATATTTGATGTTTGATAAGTTACCACAGTTTTTTGCCATAGCAATAACCATGGTAACAATGGAATTTTGGTGGTTACCATATGGGAAATATTTGCTAATTTTGTGCTCTGACTAACCTAACAGATGAAGCAATTAACAGCCTGTCTAGGCTTGATAGAACCAGTTTCTAGTTTAAGTAATTGAGTAAACTGAGGGGACAATTCAGTTTATTTTCTATTATTACCTTAGTACCAAAACTGAAGGCAGATGATGGGTGCCGATGTGGTTTCTTCAGTTATGCAATCGCCATTGCAGAATTTGCATCAAGAAACTTACTGAAGACATGGTCAAGAGCAAGAAAAAAATATTTACAGGAGAATACAAGTCTAGCTTCAGCTGTTACTGACAAAAACACCATTCACTCTCAGAAATAACTCTGAACAATAAGTTCTTCCTTGCTATTGGAACGTTTTAGGCTAGTTTAACCATTTTGAGGAAGTAAACAAAGGTGGAGTGATGAGCAAGGGCCCTGTTGCAAGTTCATTTGTGGTGAAAATGAACTTGGGTTGTTGCAGATGCTGTCGTGCTTTGTATCTTTTGTCTTCATACAAAGCACGACAGCATCTGCAGCAACCCAGACATATATGTGTCTCCTTTAATACAGAACAGGCGGCCCACATTTCACAGAATTGATATTCTAGGTGTCATTCTGAAAGATGGCAGTTGATTCATTCACACCCATCCTTCAACTGACAGAAGCCCCCCTCGTCTGGCTTGTATGAGAATCCCACCTCTGTGTGAAAACACACTCACACACACACACACACACACTCACACACACACACACACACACACACACACGGGCACAGGTTCCCACAGAGTTTGCATGCAGACACACGCACGAACACACATGCAGCAGTCTTTCCTATCATCTCCCCTCTCCTCCATCCTCAACAAGGCATCCTTTCAGTGTCCTGCTCCAGCTGCATGTGGAGGGATTCAACCCTGGAGACACTACCTAACTGTTAAAGAGATAAAGAGAAGGGATGAAGACGATTAAAAATGGATCCAAGGCTAACAAATGAACATACAGCAGGTACAGACACGCAGCTATTTCTTAGGGTGCTCTGTAGGCGGAAATTTGTGGAAAACACACCCGAAGGCTGGCTCATTTACCTGCAGCCTAAAGGCAAGGAACCTGTACAGACTAAAACAAAGCTGAAATATGTGTAAAACACGCATGTAGGAAGCTAATGAGAACAAACGTTGGTCTTTTGGGACTGATTTCTCATTCTGATGTCTATTTGGACACTGTCAGTATTTAATCAGCCTTCCAATGATTTTTAATTCGTATTACTTACTCCTACACTCTTTCGAAAGAGCTCAATCCCTCCCTCTCTTCTCTCTCGCTCACTTTTTTCCCTCTCCCTCTGTTACACATGCACACAGATGACAGTTCCCCTATCTGTCAGAGCCAGTGCCTGTATTTCAAATAGGGACTTGTTTGTATTGAATTCAGTTAGTTGTTTGTTGTGATTATGCAGAATGTGACAACTTTTTGAGCCTTCGGTTCTACTTTTTTCATTTTTAATGCACTATCATTGAATAGGGGATCTTTTATTTATTGTTTTGGTTAACTCTGTGCCCTGTGGTTCACGTTCTCTGGTAATATTCAGAGAGAAAGAAAACAGGGGGTGTGTGTGAGAGTGAGTGAGTGAAAGAGAGAGAGAGAGAGAGAGCGAGCTCTGAGCCACAGCAGCTGGTTTTCAGGTTTTAAGTTTTGACAGCCGTGACTAAACAGCCACTGTTCCATCCCAGCCTGTAAGAGGTCAGTTAGTACCTCTGGCTGGAGGAGAGAGACTGCAAGATACCCGATGGGACAAGTAAGGGTTTAAGCAGTCCGGGGGACACCAACAGGACACCGGTAGACAAGATTTGGCATCATGAATCGCAAGGAGTCAAAAAGGTACACACTTTTGACTGTCTTTTCAATTCTGACTGTGCTTTGACAGGTCTCCATGCTCTTTAGAAATGATTTGATGTTGCCTCAATGCAAAATTCTGCTTTAGTTCTTCGTGTCAATGGGTTTAATGTGCATTTGAGGTTTGATAAGTCTGTCTGTGCCTCATTTTGCAGCGCACTGCAAAGTGATCACTGTGGTTGTCTGACAAAGCTGTGGTTTCTCCTCATGTTCTTTAGAACTTTGTGTTTAGGTTTCAGTTCTCTGCGAGAGAGACAGGCTAGTTACTCTCAAAACGGTTAAAACTGCACATTCATCATTCAGATTCTCCCTTCGGGGCTCAGACTAGGTTTGCATTTGCAAGACTGTGTAGATTCACATGTGTATGCTGTGAAGAAGCAGTGATGCTTGTCTCTGATCTTTAAGAGGGGATTTCGCACTAGGGAGATAAATTGCTTTTGACCTAGTTATTCTCCAGTGACCTGTTGTGGATAGAGGTATGTTCACTTGCTGTGTTTACAGTACATAAGAAGCATTAGCAGGAACATAATGGTTGGTGTTGTGAAGACACATTGCTAGTGTCAGCTCATTTAAAACTTAATCAGGGAGTTAACCAACATTACATATGGAGTCAGATTAATATATGTGATAATACTATATGATGTGAGAGTGTCAGTATACATACAAACTCTGCCTGTGTATAATTACTGGTATAACTAGATCAATGACATGAACCTACATGAGAACGGTACAATCGATAGTTCTGACTAGGAGCTTTTGGGGGCGTCTCTTTTGTGCACATTATCTCAGAGGTCTTATCTGATTGCTTGGAAATGACAAACTTAGCAGCGACTACAGTGATGTTATCAGCATAAGTACATTACAGCAAGTTTTTGCAAGCATGTAATATTTGATATTTAACATTTTATATTTCATATTCAATATTCAAAATTTAACTAATGAAATATTGAATATTAAATGTATATTAAATATTTGCATTTAAAACTAAAACTACATGAAAGTATTATGATTATGATAGCTTATATAGACCTATACACACACACACACACACACACACATTTAATAATAAATAATAATAAATTAAATAAATAATAAATATATAATAAATAATTATATAGTATGATTATATATATATATATATATATATATATATATGTTATATACAAGATTGATGTTATATTGTACAGTTTAAAACAAATGAATTTAGAATCATTTAAAATTCTTATATATAAATAGCAGTATTTGTCAAATATAATTTTTTTTTGTCGTGTCTGACATCTAGAAGTACATGGAGCAGAGATGGAGAGGGTTGCGGATAGACTCATGGAGGGAGAGATAGAGAGATGGTGGGCGACAAACAAGGCCTTCAAAGGGCTCTGGCGTCAATTAATCAATTAACGAGAGAAAGGGGGGAATTTGCATGTTCCCTGACTATGTGTGTGTGTGTGTGTGTGTGTGTGTTTGTGAGCACAGAGAGAAAAAAGAAAAAGAGGGAGATGAGGAGAAAGCAGGAGGCAGGAGGGAGAGGGTTGGGGGTAGGGTAATGGAGCTGGAGATGTAGCCAGGAACTGGGAGTAAAACACTGGCTACTGTGGCAGGGAAGGGGTAGGGGGATGTTGGGGGGGATTTCCAAAGAGAAAGGAGAAGTTGTTTTCTGAATGACATGAATAGAGCAAAGGGTGCAGGAGGAGAGGAAGAGAAAGTGAGCGAGTAGGTGCTATGCATGGCCGAAACACTCATACGCTGTATGATTGCAAAAGTTTCATTGGATTATGATACTGAATGCCAGGGTGTCATGTGCGAATACAAACAAACCACACTGCTGTTGAGAAAAATCTTGCTCCAAACGAAATTCACTGCGCTAAAAACAGCACACTAGTTCTATAGGGGCTGATATATTTAATATTTTAGCACTTTTCACATGAATGTTTGTTGTAAAAAGAAGTGTGAAGGTTATATATATACAGTAGCATTAGATCAACAGATGTTTAATTATTTATTTTCGACCAAAATCCAAACTACAGAAGCCTGTTTCTGGTTTTAGGTGTGTTCACATTTGCTCTGTGAAATTTACTTGGGCAAAATCCAGTAATTTTAATAACTATCAGCACTTTTTGGAGTTTTGAGTGAGGGCGAAAAAGTTTCCCATGCAGATTTCGCACATGTTCAAGTTGGTCATGCAAGTTCGCCATGCTGACCAAACAGAAAGCTACTTGGTTTGAAAGTGACTTCTGTGTGAGAAGAGCTCAATCACTACGCTATTAACAATGGACCTTTTTTGCCCACAAAATATTTAATGAACGCACCTACAAAGTAAAAATTAAAACAGTTAATTATGCAATTGTTAAAAAAAAAAAAGTCAAGACAAAAGACAATATTAAAGGCTGGAATACATTAAATGACTTCAAGACTTCTGAACAGATTTAAAGGGGTCATATGATGTTGCTAAAAAGAACATTATTTTGTGTATTTGGTGTAATGAAATGTGTTTATGCGGTTTAAGGTTAAAAAAACACATTATTTTCCACATACTGTACATTATTGTTTCTCCTCTATGCCCCGCCTTTCTGAAACGCGTCAATTTTTACAAAGCTCATTGTTCTGAAAAGCGAGGTGTGCT